TCAGCTCAAGGCTAGTGCTCTACCACTTGAGCCACAGCGCCACTTCCGGCTTTTTTCTTTTTGCTTATGTGGTGCTGAGGAATCAAACTCAGGGCCTTGAGCGTGCAAGGCAAGCGCTCTACCACTGAGCCACCTTCCCAGCCCTTATTATTTGTTTTCTTGATGATGGCCATTCTGACTTGGATTAGATAAAATCTCAATGTAGTTTTGATTTGAATTCTCTCTCTTTCTTTTTTTGTCAGTCATGGGGCTTGAACTCAGGGCGTGGGTGCTGTCCCTGAGCTCCTTTGCTCTAGGCTAACACACTACCACATTGAGCCACAGCTCTAGTTTTGGTTTTCTGATGGTTAATTGGAGAAAAGAATCTCATGGATTTTTCTGCCTGGGCTGGCTTTGAAGTCCAATCCTCAGATCTCAGCTCCCTGAGTAGCTAAGATTACAGACAAGAGCTACTTTTGCTTGGTGTGTCTATTGTGTTTATTTTTCTTGCCTTATTGCTCTAGCTAGGAATTCTAGCACTTTTGAATAAGAGTGGAGAGAGTAGATGCCCTTGTCTTTATTCACTGGAGAGAAAGTGGCCACAAATTTCCCCCACATAGTACGTTGTTATCATATAAAGCCTTTGTTATGTTAAGGTACCTTCCTCCTATTCCTATTTTCTTTAGGACTAAAGAGATACTTTAGGTGTGTGAGTATGTGTGTGTGTGCACATGTGTGCACATGCCCACATGCTCATGCTCATCCTGGAGCTTGAACTCAAGGCCTACATGCTGTCCCTGAGATTCTTTTTCTCAAGGCTAGTATTCTACCACTTGAACTACTGCACTACTTCTGCCTTTTTCTGAAAAGTTTATTGGAGATAAGAGTCGCATGGACTTTTCTTCCCTGGCTGGCTTTGAACAGTGATCCTCAGATTGCAGCCTCCTGAATAGCTAGGATTACAGGCATGAGTTACTATCACCTGGCTAAGGGGTGCTAATTTTTTTTAAGAACTTTTGTGTATCATTGATATGATCATGTGATTTTTGTCCTTTTTCCTTCTTATATACTGTGTTTCATATATATATATGTATATATATACATACATAAATACATATATATATATATGGTCATGGGGTTGAACTCTGGGCCAGGGTGATGTCCCTCAGCTCTTCAGCTCAAGGCTAGTGCTCTAGCACTTGAGCCACAGTGCCATTTCCAGTTTTGTGAGTGGTTTATTGGAGATAAGAGTCTCACGGACTTTTCTGCCCAGGCTAGCTTTGAACCTCGATCCTCAGCTCTCAGCCTCCGGAGTAGCTAGGATTACAGGCGTGAGCCACAAATGCTTGGCTATGTGTTACATTTATTGACTTTTGTATGTTGAACTATCCTTGCATTCCTGGAAGGAAGCTCATCAGAGTGTAGGATATTGTTAATATATTACTGAATCTATTGTCCAAGTATTGGGAAAAAATTATTGGGAGTTCCTCCCCCCATGTTTTTTTTCTTCATTTTTTGTTGTTGTTATTATGTGCTTACCTGGTTTTGATATTATGATAATACTGGCTACACAGAATGAGTTTGGTAGTTTTCTTTCCCTTTGTGTTTTATGGAATGTTTGAAGATCATTGGTGTTAGTTTCTTTTTGAAGGTAAGATGGAATTCAGTGGTGAGGTGTCTGATTGTTTTGGGGGGAGGGAGATGGATGGGAATATCAGTAAGTACAGTGGCAGGAGAGGGCTTGGCTGTCCCAGGCAGATGAGAACCCAAGCTAGAGGACCAAAAAGCCAGGGACCAGAGAGGATGGAGCTTCTCAAATCACCTCCTACTCCCATTTCTTTATTTTGCAGCCCTGGCTTCTTGTCATGGATTTAACCTGGATGTGAAGGAACCCATAGTGTTCAGAGATGATGAAGCCAGCTTTGGGCAGACCGTGGTGCAGTTTGGTGGATCTCGGTAGGCCCATGCTTGTTCCTCCACTTACCCCTGTAGGGTCTGTGGCGAGGGAGCTACTGGTGGTACCCCAAGAGGTGCCCTGGGGAAAAGATAGCCAGGCTGAGAAGTCTTTCCCTGTCTCTTCTGAGGTCTCTGACATTACCACATACCATTAAAGATCCTAGAAAGGACCACAAAACCTTAGGGAAGACCCAGCCTTGAAAGGGAGGTCTTGCCCCTGTCTTTCAGAAGGGGTGGCATCTTGGCAGGTAACCTGAGGAGTTGCACAGCTGCAGGAAATAGTTCCATTTAACTTCAGGTGAATGTTTCCTGGTGGTTCAAAATGACAGCATCTCAGAAACACCACATGCATACCCATGAATGGGCAGTGTCAATCATGGTTTCAAATATACCTATTTGGAGAGTAAAGATTTTTTTTTCAAAAGACCAGAAGCTTGATAAATCCTAACATATACATTTATGTACCTATGCTGGAAAACAAAGCCCAGTATGGTCCTTGGCACATGCGGGTGAAACTCTAGCCTTGAACAGGAAGGCCAGCACTTCCTTTATCTTGCTTCCTTATTGCAAGATGAGAAAAAAAAAACCTTAGCCCCCAAGCAGCCATATTCCCAGCCCCCCTTTATCTGTGTGTCACAATTGTTTCTCCAGATTGGTGGTGGGAGCTCCCTTGCAAGTGATGGCGGTCAACCAAACGGGACAGTTGTACGACTGTGTGCCAGCCACTGGCACGTGCCAACCCATCTTGCTGCAGAGTGAGTAATGTGGTCTAGGTCTTGGGTTCCTTTGCTGTCCCAGATCCCCACCCCCACCCCATCCAGCTACCAGCAAGACTCTCCCCCGCTGCCCTGCAAGGTGGTTGTGCCATTGAGTGCAAGCATGTGTATCTACCCTCTCTCAGTACCCCCAGGGTTCGTGAACATGTCCTTGGGTTTTTCCTTGGCCACTTCCATTGACCAGTCCCAGGTGCTGGTGAGTTGCCTTGGTTACACGAGGGATATTTAGGGCACAGCAGGGGCTGGAATAGGCCTGGGGGAGGAGGAGGAGATGCACTGCCCCCCCCCCTTGCTCTGTTCCCAGGCCTGTGGCCCAACAGTGCATAGAACTTGTGAGGAGAACACATATGCAAAAGGCTCTTGTCTCCTGTTGAACTCCCGCTTGCAGATCACCAGGACATTTCCAGATGCCCTCCCAGGTAGGTCCCTGGGAGACAGAGATTCTCTAGGGAACACACATTAGCCTTCTTTTCATCACTTTGGTTCTTGTTCCCTTCCTGGAGTACTGGTTGTGGTTATGCAGCTTCAGCCAGACCTCAGGCCCTGCATGGTCTGGCCTGGCGAGGAGGCCAGAGCTCTCTGCTAGCTGAAGGATGAATGTCTTGTTGGGCAGAGAAGAGCCTGGGTAATAGTTTAGGGGAGAGAGGGGCATGAGGGTCTCACAGTTGCCAACACTCATAAGCCAACACTTCATGAGCTTTTGAGGAAATTCAGCTTTCGATGGCGTGGACCTGGAGAAAGAAGGCTGAATGGACAAGGAGACCATTCCCAACAGCTCAACAGCCAAGCTGTCAGGATGCTCTGGGCTAACCCTCTCACCTTTCATGGAGTGGCAAATTGCGATGCCCAGTTACCTCAGTGTTGATGCCTTCCATTGAAAATTTGGCCTGGGGTCACTGAAGTGGCATCTCTCACAGGAACTCTGCATAATGGGGGTGCTCAAGTTCAAGTGTGCTCCTTGTCCATGGGCAATGGTTTTCTCATTAGTAAAATGGAGATTCATAATTGTAATGGTCATAGGGATGAAAGGATAGAATGTACATAGAGTGCTTAGAGCCTTGCCTGTCACGTGACACGGGCTGGTTCTTATGACTGAACTTCCAGCTGAGGGGTGTGAATTTGGACAGAGAAGCTGCAGACAAACTGCTCGTGTGCTGGCTGTAAGGGGAGCCCATGTACTAGGTATGAGGGGTCATAAAAAGAGATACTGACAGGCTGAAACATCCTGGGTTCAATCCCCAGTACCACAAAAAGAAAAGATAAACAAAAACACAGTTAAAAGAAAAAGACATGCTAGGGACCCCACAGGATGCTGACCAAGAACAATGCCTTAGACCAGAGAGACCATGAAACCAGGCACAAAGGGCTCTTAGTCAAAGTGGGAGTAGCAGAAGAAATATCCCCAGACTTTATCATGACCGCAGAGTGTCTACAGCAAATAGAGAGAATAGAGGAGGAGAATGCAGGAAGGCCCAGGGTTCTTGGGAGAATCAATGTCCAGTGTGAGATATCTGTCTTGACAAGGCAGGTGATATGACATTCAGACATGAGCTAGTAAACATCTTCTCTGCAACTGGCAATGTAAAGTGAACCTAGGAGTGTGAATCAGGTGAATCAGGTGATGCAGGTGTGGGGACAGGTTGGAAAAATTGGGTCCTCTGAACATAAGCTAAGCACCGGGAACTGCTAGGTGCCTGGTGGCCTTCACCTCATTGCAGCCTCCTGGTGTTGCTGTGGGGTGGGAAGGATGATTCCATCCATCAGACGAGGAAACTGAAGCTCAGAGAGACCAGGGCCCGTTGATAGAGACAGCATCCGGAGCTTGAGCCAACCTTGCCTACTTGTCTTAGTCCTTTTAAAAAGATACTCAGCTCTGTGCTGTTGGAAGCCCACTGGATGTAACAAAAGGAACAGGGAATAAGAATAGACGTTGTGAGAGGGCTTGCCACACACGTGGGCTGATGGAGGAGGGTGGTGATTTCATGATACAGCTGGAAAAGTGTTCACTAAGGGATGCAGGTGCCAGTGGCTCATGCCTATAATTCTAGCTACTCAGGAGGCTCAGACCTAGGACTGACTGTGGTTCAGGGCCCAGTCCAGGCAGGAAAATCCTCAAGACTTTGTCTCCAAAATAACCAGTAAAAAGTCAGGTTGGGAAATGAACTCCAGGAAATGGGAACAAGAGCTTTGTTTTTGTTTTTGTTTGTTTTCCTTTCTTTGTGTCAGTTTTGTTCATTCATCTGTCTTCGGGAGGGGAAGGGGAAGGGCACAGAGATGGAGGGACAAAGGGTGAACAAATGCAGCAGTGTTACTCACTGGACATTATATTGAAAATGAACTGTACAACTTGTGGATGGGAAGAACTAGGTGAGATTGAGGGAAGGGGTGACATTATCCAGAAAGAAATATACTCATTACCTGACCTATGTAACTGTACCCCTTCTGTATATCATCTTTATCACAAAAGAAAAGTTGTGCTGGAGGTGTGGCTCACATGGTAGAGCACCAGCCAAGCAAGCAGGCAAGCTGAGCAGGTATTAGGCCTGAGTTTACACCCAGTACCAAAAGGGGATTTATGTAGGTTTGATTTAGACCATGGTTGTTGCTATTCCTGTTGCTGCTGTGGTTGGTGGTGGTCATGGGGCTTGAACTCAGGCCTAGGTGCTGTTCCTGAGCTTTTTTTTGCTCAAGGCTATTACATTCTACCACTTAAGTCAACGCTCCAATTTCACCTTTTTGTTGTTGAGCTGAAGATCAGAGTCTCATAGACTTTCCTGTATAAGCTGACTTAGAACTTGGATCCTCAGATCTCAACCTCCTGAGTAGTTAGGATTACAGGCCTGAGTTACCAGGGCCTGGTTTACACATTACTAGTTGGATCCTTGCAACAATCCAATGCAGTAGGTCCTATTGCCTTCATTTTACACACGGGAAACCTGAAGCCTGGAGAAATTAAATCTCTTGCCCCAAGTCACCAACCAGTGAGTGGCAGAACTGTGGTTCTAGGTCAAGCACTTTGTTAAACTGCCTCCTGTGAGCTCTCTGAACCCTGTAACAGTTAGTTTCTTAAGTATTCGTTGACAGAATGAGCTGGGAGCCCATTTGGCCTCGTCCTCTACTTCCTCCTTTCTTGTTCCGGGACATGGGGGAGGGTGGGAGTTCCTCAGAGCACTGGAGGCAAAATGACACCTCCAGGCTGCCATCCATGCGTCCCCATCGCCTTCACCCTCCACTGCAGACTGTCCACACAACGAGATGGACATTGTCTTCCTGATCGATGGCTCTGGCAGCATAGAGCCCAGTGACTTTAGCCAGATGAAGGACTTTGTCAGAGCTGTGATGGACCAGTTCCAGGGTACCAACACCATGGTGAGTGCCAGGCTCAAGGCTTGGGAGTGGGGCAGACATGGGCGGGGCTTGGCCCATGATAGGCTGGAGCTCAAAGTGGAGAGCTCAGGGCGGGCACAGCGTGGGGCCAGTCTGACCCCTGACCTAAGAGCGTCTCACAAGGCATTTCTTGTGTCTCCATATGTCACCTGCTGTTTGAAAACATTGAAAGGATTTTAAATTAATTTTGCTATGAAGTCTCAGAGTAACTCAGTCAAGTGAATGATTTCTTTCTTTTTGTTGTGTGGGTGGCAAGTCCAGGATTTGAACTCAGGGCCTCACTCTTGCTAGGCAACTACTCTGCCAGATGAGGCATATTATGTTTCTTCATATTTTCTATATAATAGGGACTTAAAAAAAACTGGAGGTTGGGAAGGTGGCTCAGTGGTAGAGTGCTCGCCTTGCATGCATGAGGCCATGGGTTTGATTCCTCAGCACCACATAAGCAGAAAAAGCCGGAAGTGGTGCTGTGGCTCAAGTGGTAGGGCACTAGCCTTGAGCTGAAGAGCTGAGAGACAGTGCCCAGGCCCAGAGTTCAGGCCCCATGACTGACAAACAACAACAACAATAACAAACAAAACTGGTGCTGGGAATTGAGGCTCACATCTATAGTCCTAGCCACTCAGGAGGCTGCAATCTGAGGATTGAGGGTTGAAACCAGCACAGGAGGTTGGAGGTATGGTTCAGGTGGTAAAGCACTCACAAATGAGTGAAAAGTGTCAGGTATTGAGTTTGAGTCCCAGTCTTGGACAGCAAAACAAAACAAAAAAACCTAAAGAAAAGAAAAAAATTGGCCCAAGCAGGAACATCTGTGAGACTCGTCTCTAGTTAATCAGGAAAAGAGCTGGAAGTGGAGCTGTGGCTCAAGTGATAGAGCACCAGCCTTGAGCAGAAAGAAAGATGCATTTTTATTACTGTGTATCAGTTTTACAAAGTAACTTATTACGATCAAACCCATGTCACTCATGTATACACATAATATGATTATATTCACCCCCTTTATTGCCTTTATTATTTCTTCACCTCTTTTACTCCTTCACATGTTTATTGTCCTCCCTTTTACTTTCGCAAATTCAGGACATTTACCTTATTATTTTCCAGCAACTAATGCATATGTGTATGCAAATTCTTGGGAAGTAAAGAAGTGACACAACTTGATTTCATGTTGCACAGACCCTTGGTTTGTTTCCTAGTCCTGAATAATAGTAGCAATAATAATAATAATAATAAGGGGCTGGGAAGGTGGCTCAGTGGTAGAGCGCTTGCCTTGCATGCATGAGGCCCTGGGTTCAATTCCTCAGTACCACATAAGCAGAAAAAAAAAGCCGGAAGTGGCGCTGTGGCTCAAGTGGTAAAGCGCTAGCCTTGAGCTGAAGAGCTGAGGGACAGAGCCCAGGCCCAGAGTTCAGGCCCCATGACAGGACCAAATAATAATAATAATAATAAAAGTTGTAGTAGTAGTACACTTTCAAAAGCTAGACAGGATGGTTCCTCCTTGTAATCCTAGTTCACTAGGAGGGTGAGATTAGGAGGATCCAAGTTCCAGTCTGGACAAAAACAGTTTCAAAGATGCTTGTTTCTCCCAATCAAAAGTTAGGCCTGATGGCATGTACCTGTCATCCCAGCTAAGTGGGAAAACAGAAATAGGATTGCAGTCTGGGCTAGCCCAGGCAAAAAAAAGTGAGATCTTGTGTGAAAAATAATGAAAGCAAGAAGGACTGGCACTGCGGATAGAGCACTTGCTCAGCAGCTTGCAAAAACAAACACAAAACCCTGTCAAGTCCTAAGTGCCAGGCCCTCCCTGTTGGCCCTTCCAGTTCTCTCTGATGCAGTACTCCAACATCCTGAAGACCCACTTCACCTTCACGAAATTCCGCACCAGCTTGAGCCCTCAGAGCCTGGTGGACCCCATTGTACAGCTGAGTGGCCTGACGTTCACAGCCACGGGCATCCTCAAAGTGGTGTAAGTTCTCTTCCTCTCATACCACCGCTCCACCTTCTTCTTCCCCCACCCCCTTCTCAGGGAGGCAGGAGAATGCTTAAAGGGGCTGAGTGTGGTATAGCATGCCTGGAATCCCAGCTACATGGATCTAGACATGGGAGGGCTATGGTCTGATGCTGACCTTTTTGCCTGAGACCTTATCTGAAAAACAAAACAAAACAAAAAAAGGGGGAAGGGGCTGAAAGTGTGGCTCAAGTGGTGAAGCAGTTGCCTAGCAAGCACAGAACTCTGAGTTCAAATCTCAAAAAAAAAAAAAAAAAGGAAAGCAAATATGAGGGCTAAGGAGGAGGGTGGGGAAGGTCTTTTATATTGGGCAGTTAGAAAGCTTCCAGTATTATATTTGTACTCGGTGTTGGTACTCATACCTGTAATCCTAGCTACTTGGGAGGCTGAGATCTGAGGATCATGGTTCAAAACCAGCCTGGGCAGGAAGGTCTGTGAGACTCTGATCTCCAGTTGACCACCAAAAAGCTGAAAGTGGAGCTATGGCGCAAGTAGTAGAGGGCTAGCCTTGAACAAAGAGCTTAGGGACAGCATTCAACCCCTGAGTTTAAACCCCAGGACTGGCAAATGCACACACATGCGCACACACATACTAGTGTTGTATTTGCTATGTTGTTAGTGTGTGTGTTGGAGTTTATAGGGCTAGATGAACATACTGATACGTTGTAGCCCATTGTTACAGCTATCATTTAATTAATGCTCTCCTGGAAGCCTGCCACAGACACATAGTGTCTAATCTTCCAAATAACTGGATACCATTTGGTTCAATTATCTTCTGTTGCTTAACACTCCCTTGACCAATTTAGTAGTTTAAACAACTGTTGTCATTTTTGCATAGTCCCAGGGTGGGGCTGGTGAGCCCTGCTGTTCTTATACAAGACACTGGGTCTCCAGGGCAGGACACTGAGTCCTTGATCCATTTGTCTGGAATCTGGGAAGAGCTGGCTAGCAGGGCTCAGCGGGGGTGGCTGGGCCTGTGTCTCAGTAACTGAAGATGGTGGAACCATTTTCTTTTCCTCCTCCTCCTCTTCTTCCTTCTCTTCCTCCTCCTCTTCCTCTTATTGCTCCTCCTCCTCCTCCTTCTCCTCCTCCTCTTTCTTCTCTTCCTCTTCCTTCTCTTCCCTCCCCCTCTCCCCCTTCCCCTCCTTTTTCTTCCTCCTCCTCCTCTTCCTCCTCCTCCTCTCCCTTTCCCCCTCCTTTTTCTTCCTTCCTTCTCTTCCTCTTTCTTCTCCTCTTCCCTCCCCCTCTCCCCCTTCCCCTCTTTTTTCTTCCTCCTTCTGTTTTTAAACTCAAGATCTTATGCTTGCCAGGCAGGTGTTCTACTCCTGAGCCTCAACCCCCCGCCCCCCAGCTCTCAGACTCAATCATTTTCTTTATGGGGCTGATAGAGTCTGGCCCATTCTGGTAGCAGAACATCCTGACTTCTCAGGGGAGTTCCCAGCAATGGCAACGAAGGCCTTGCAGAGTGGATTGTATCTGAGTGGCATCTTTTCCCTTTCTCCCCTGGCAGGAAGGAGTTATTTCACAGCAAGAATGGGGCTCGTGAAAATGCCAAGAAGATCCTCATTGTCATCACAGACGGACAGAAGTACAGAGACCCTCTGGACTACCATGATGTCATTCCCCAGGCAGAGGAAGCAGGCATTACCCGCTACGCCATCGGGGTAAGGGCCTCTTCCTCATGGCTCTTCCTGACTTGACTCACAGCTAGGCCGGTGAGGGACTGGGCAGAATCCTCCTCTCCCTTGGCCATCTTTCTACTGCAGGTGGGGGACGCCTTCCAGGATCCCAGTGCCCGGCAGGAGCTGGACACCATCAGCTCAGCACCCCCTCAGGACCATGTGATCAAAGTGGGCAACTTCTCGGCACTCAGAAGCATCCAGAAGCAGCTACAGGAGAAGATCTTTGCAGTTGAGGGTAAATGGGAAGGATTACCTTTTTTTTTATAGGTCCTGTGGCTTGAACTCTGGGCCTGGGCTCTGTCTCTGCACTCTTCAGCTCAAGGCGAGCGCTCTACTGCTTGAGCCACAGTGCCACTTCTGGTTTTCTGGTGGTTTATTGGAAATAAAAGTCTGATAGACTTTCCTGCTCAGGCTGGCTTTGAACCACAATCCTCAGATCTCAGCCTCCTGAGTAGCTAGGATTATAGGCATGAGCCACCAACGCCCAGCAGGATTACCTTTTAAGAGGTCTCTATCCAATTGTCCTCTGGAGCTATGACAGTCCATTCTTTTTCTTTGCTTTGCTTTATTTTCTCTTATTTTATTTTGAGGTAGGTGGTCCTGGGGCTTGAAATCAGGGCCTCGACATTGTCAGTTACCTTTTTCTACTCGAGGCTGGCATCCTACCACTTGAGCCACATCTCCACTTCCAGCTTTTTGGTGGTTCCTTGGGAGATAAGAGTCTCACACCAACTTTCTGCCCTGGCTGGTTTCAAACCACCATCTTTAGATCTCAGCCTCCTGAGGTGTTAAGATCACAGGCATGAACCACCAGTGTCCAGCTTAGTCCATCTTTTTCAAAAGTCAGCCAAACATCATTCCTCAGAACCTGCCCTGTTCCTTGTGCTTTCTCTCTACTCTGTGCCTTCAGGGTCTCCTGGAGCTGGAGAGCCTAACTGATCTGTTTCCTCACAGGAACCAGGTCGAGAAGGAGTAGCAACTTTCACCACGAGATGTCTCAAGAAGGCTTCAGCTCAGTATTCACAGCGGTGAGTGCATGACCACCAGGCCAGGAGATGGAGTTGGGTCCCCCTTCCTTGTCTGATTAGGGAGATGTACCAGGTGGGATTTTAGGTGCTGGGGTGGGGGGCAGAATAGAGAAGACTCGGGCTCCTTCCTCATGGAATATGTGTTCTAGTGGATGGAGGTCATAAACAGTAGAAATTCAGAGTGTATTGAGTGTTGGAATATATATGGCTAGATGATGAGAAGGAGCCAGGAAAAGGGGGAAGGGGAATCTAAGGAAAGATTTGCTCTAAATAGAGGAGAAAGCAAAGGCAAAGATCCTGAGGCAGAAATAAGGTTACTATGCTAAAGATAAAGAAGGGCTGGCATGCTGGGATCAGAGGAAGGAGAGGGCTGGGCAGTGGGAGGGTCTGGGTCACACCGTTTAGACAGATGACAAGGCTGGGCTGAAAGCAGATGGAGGCTCAAGG